TTGAACACACTAAATTATTAAATTAAACATTTTTCATTACGAAAACCAAATCACTATACTTACTATATTTAGTTTTAACTATTATATATATTAATTAAAATATATAAAATAAATGTTATGTACTGATATACTGTAGTAGGGTTTGTTTTCCAAGTCTGGTTACTAACCTTAGCGCAATTGATTGAAAAACCTGAATTAGCCTGATGTTCGAGGGATTTTCCGAACCCCAGATTGCTATTCCATAAGACCAGACTAGTTTTATGATTGACTTATATATAATAAGTTTTTTTTTTGAGTGTTATTTTGGAATTTAAGAGTGGTCGGAGGAGGTGAAGTCTGTTGTTCGATGATTTTCTTTTTTCTTTTTGATTGGGTCCCAAGTTAGTCTTTTATCAAGTGTTATGCCTAAGTACTTGATTTTGGTTTGGACAGGGATGGGGGCGTTGTTCATAATTAATTGAGGGCACTCACAGGGAGATTGTTTTAACATGAAAGTAACTTGTACAGACTTTTCCGTATTAATTTTTATTTTCCATTTTTTGGCCCATTCTTCAATTTTATTAGCGTGATTCTGGAGTTCAGTTGAAGCTAAGATAGGATTTGGACTGGAGAAAAGAATAGCTATGTCATAAGCGTATGTTGCTAGAAGGGTGTTACTAAATTGAGGGATGTCTGCTGTGAATACATTATATAGATCAGGGAATAGATCACTACTCTGTGGAACTCTAGCATATAATGAGTGAGTAGATAAAATATCATTCCTCTGTCGTACGACAAACGAAAAATTTTGTAGGTAAGATTTGATAATAAGATAGTAGGGAGCTGGCATTAAAAGTTTTAATTTGTATAGTAAGCCATCGTGCCAGACTTTATCGAATGCTTAAGCAATATCTAAAAAAAAGTCTGGAACAGTATTCTTTATTTTCGAGAGCAGTTAAGATTTCATCAGTAAGACGATGAACTTGATGGATTGTTGAGTGCCTGTTTCGAAAACCAAACTGATTATTCGGTATGATATGGTTGTTTTGAAGGATGGGACGTATTCTTTTCAGGAGAGCCTTTTCGAAAAGTTTACCAAGGACTGGAAGTAAACTTATGGAACGGTATGACGAAGATAAGTGTTTAGGTTTATTTGGTTTGTGTAGGTTAGTGTACAAGTATAATGATTGCAAATTTCCAGATTTTAGAGAAGTGGGAAAATCTTAGCATAGAATTATATATGTAGGTGAGCAATGATAAAGTTTTGAGAGACAAATTTTTCTGAATTTTGTTTGCAATGAGGTCATTTCCAGGTGCCTTGCCGGGAGGTAATTTTTTAATTATATACTGAATTTCACCAGGAAAGATGGGTTTTGCAGGTAGCGACATAGGTAGCGAAGCTGATAGAAATTATTAAATTTCAATAATTGTGTCGTTTTCGGGATCGGAGGCTGGAATGTTTCAACTAATTGAGAATATACAGATACAGAGAATGTACAGAATATAGGTACGTTGCAATTAAAAATGTAAATGTTGAGGTGTTTTTAAATCATATTATCTATACTTAATACATAACGAAAAAAGTGAATTGAGGAATTACTTTTAAAGCGATTTGAACAACCGTATGCAACACAAGAAACAGGCATATTTAATAAATATTATTTACTAAATAGTGTATAATTAATATTGTGATGTGTGGGGAATAGTGTTGATACAATATTTTGCCAACCCAAAACATGGCGAATAAATGATAACATAATCAATGCGTGCTTCAAGTGGTATCGGAAGTTCGTCATCTAATACAATATAGATATCTGTAATACCGCTATGTTTATCAGTAACACAAAAAAAAAAAACAAAAAATGAGATTTACTTGAACAACAGCTCGAAATGAGATAAGTTATAATTCTTTACTTTTTGATGTAATATTTAGATAGAATAAAATTAGTTATTCACTGGAAGAGTTATTTATATAGGAATATTTTTTTTTTTACCATTTCTACACTATATTGGCTATTATTTATCATGTATTATGTTCTGATAACACGAATACTTATTTTTATACAATTTTTTCAACAATGAAAATTATATTTGGGTAAGATGGCGTATTCGATTTGGGGTAAAAGTGCGCATTTCAGCATATGATGTTGACACCTACATATTTATATGTTTGAAATTATAATTATATATATATTAGTACCTACATAGTTATTATAAGATTCATATTATTTACAATTAAAGCATATAAATATTCTAAATACTTATGTATATTTTTAGAAACTATGTAAGGTATTACCTATTTATTTTATTTAGTTTTAAAATGCATGAACTGAAATATTGATAATTTTTGTTTGGTTGGATCTACTACTATAGTATCTATCTACTTGTTAAATTTGTTTATTTTGTTGTTTTTGATATACTATGATTAAACAAAGTTCAATAAATTGTTCAGTAGTTTTTTTTGTGTTGTTATGTTTTAACATGTTATCATTTTTAATATAAATATAACTATATAATATGTCTTAAGAAGTCTTCACTTATTATTAATTTTATAAGCAAATATAATTAAAATAGACATTTATAATAAATTATAGTGATTACAATTGTTAAAATATATATTTAAGAATTTATTTTCCGTAAAAAGATTAATTTAAAATTAAGACTTTTGCTTGCGCCCTTTGACCTGCACAGTTAGCCCGTTTCCGGAGCTTAAGTAGATATTACAGAGTTGTAATGTTGACATTTTACAGTTGTGCAACCAAACCACGAATTTTGCCTAATCCAGATGATCGTATAAGTAGTGTATTGTGTATTATACTCTATAAATAAAGTCTCACAACAATAAAACCCAGAGAAAAACGAATTCGGAACGAAGGTAAGGGAAATTATTTTTTGTTTCTCGTAAAAGAAGCACGTGTACTTATGACAGATATAAGGCGCATTCAAGTAATTAACAGAAAATCTTAACTACACAGTATTTCTGTGTACTAGATTTAGTGGAAATAGCTCCAGATGTTCTAAAGATGGAACATATACATTCGTAATACATTTATTGTAACATACTATACAACACAAACATTGGAATCTTTGATATAACATTCTAGTTAAATGTTATAGCATGAAGATTAACAGTGTTTTATTTTTTTATTATCAATCTCATTATAAAACAATTATTGTCTGTTTTATATAAAACTAGGTTCCTCAATTTCCATCAATTAAAAAACGATTTAACAATTGAATAACTATTCTATCAAACTTATTTTAATGACACTTATCTTCTTCATTATAATAAATTTAATAAGTAAAAATAATATTTAATATCAAACATGTATTATGTGTATTGTTTTAAATTACCAATCTGTATTAAAATTAAAGTTACAATAACTGAAAATTAAAATGAAACATTTAAATTTATTAGTTATAAATAGGATAAAATCAGTTATAAATAATCAACGTTTCATTAAAACGTACATTAAAAAAATGTTAAAATATGCAATTATATACATTATTAGTAATCAGGGACGGCGCGAGGGGGTGGGCAATAGGGGCAGTTGCCTAAGGCCCCGCGCCTTAAATTATAATTAAGGCCCCGCGGTTCTGATTTAACTGAACTTAAAATATTTTATTAATATAAATTATAAGACCCAACATTTATTTTGCCCAGGGCCTCGCAAACTCTATCACCGTCACTGTTAGTAATAATGTACATAATTGCATATTTTAATTATTTCTTATTAAATATAAATATATATTTTTTCTTAACAAATATAAGTATAAAAAGTAGAATAAAAACATATGATAGAAAATGAATAATGTTTTTCAAGAAATTTAAAATACATTGATACAGAACACATTTTTTTAAAAGTTATTAAAAACTAAATGAAACGACTAGAAATTAAAAAACACCATAAATATCATTTTTTTTCAGTAATTAAAAAATAAGGAAATAAGAATAATAAAACATCAATGGTTGAATTCTATGTGGTATCAAGTTTCTACCTGACATATATTTTTTTAACACCCATAAAAAATAAAGCAAATGCCAAAAATTTGGACAAATGGTCACTGGGTTTTTAAAGAAGGTTAATGATTAACCCATAACCTGTCTAAAATAAAATATGAATAAAAAGTAAGAAGAAACCAAAGTAGAAAAATGCATTCATTCAGGCATTATTATTTATAGAATTTGATAAGCAATAGTACAGTATAGTAGCTACAGATTTTTTACTGGCATACCTATAATAAGGCACACAGCTAGGATTGATCAGCAAAAGTAAAATATCCCCAAAAATAAAGTTTATTAAATTAATTAAATTGTTAAAAATGAAATACTTCAGCTACTGAATAGTTTTCAAATGACATTTTGTGTAATTGTGTTATGTTTCATGAGTCATGAATATACTAAATGTTAAAATATAATTTATTTTTACAACTCTATAAACTCAGTAGAAAAATAATTAAGAATAAACACAGTAATAAGTAAAAGTTATTTAATATAATCATAGAACTATAATCCTTAAGCTACTCTAGTCCTAACAAAAACTGTATATTCACCAAAAAAGTAATACGTTTACAGAATAAGTCTACAGTGGTTAACAAAACTAAAACACACATTTATTTTGTGATCTAGAAATCTAAATGTCCACTGTCTAGTTAAAACCTGCAATTCACAGAATTAATGAGATACATACTGTCATCTATATAAATAACAAATTAACATAATCATAAAGAAGCTTAACCTATTCCTATATGTACTGGTTTTGCCATTGATCCAGGCAGAAATCATTACAAAAATAAGACAATTTATAAATGTATGTAATAATATTTATTTTTATTCAATCATTTTAATATTATTATTAATTTTTATCTCAATCATACATTGAGCAAGCAAAAACGTTTGTATTGAGAACCACAGTTTAGATACAGCTTTGTCAACAAATAATATTGTCGTATTACATTGCATTGGTTATAAAAATTAAGTTTTTAATATCATTATTTAAAAAAATTAACAATATTTTTTTTTCAATTTTAATAAAATATTATTATTAAAATAAATTTACAAAAGCCTTTATAATTACATATAATACATTTTCTCTAGCACTATAGGGTTCATAGAATGGTTCTTCTTAGAAGTGATAACGGCAATGAAGTTTTGAATTTTCCTTTTTGATCTAGGAAAAATTCTGTAAAAATCATATGGGTTAAATTATATATAATGTATTATTTCCAATTGAACATTTTACTATTCTTATAATGAAAATGTTTTTAAAATTTACCTGGATAATGTTGCATAAGGTATCATTAGCTTTACCATTAAATGAAAAAGGTACAATTCCACAACTCATTTTTCTTATGTTAAGAAAAACTTAATACATTATATACGCAGATAGTTTGTTCATAATTCTGCAAAACATCCAAAAATATGATACTTTATAATTGTAGTGTATAGAACCTATTTTGTAATGCCAGTAAAATCAGTTATTTTTTTTTAACCAAAAAATAATTATTGGGATAAAAAAAAAGTTTCCAGTCAAAAATTGTTATTTGAGTACAAACGAAAAATACAATTATTACCTAGACTATGATATATTCATTGATTGATTTATCACCAATGTTAATGTAACAATTAATAAATCAATATTTATTTTTTAATTTCTCTAGTTAGGTACATACATGTATTTGTTCTTTGACTGTTGATTATAATCAAAATGTAATAAAATTGCATTGTTTTTTATCAATAAAATATAAATTAAAAACCAAGAAAATATATGAATTTTAATTTGAAGTATATCATTAAAGAGCACACCAAATTACAATCTCTTATAAATTTATGAAACATGAAAAATTGTATATTAGAGACTAGGGCTGTTCAATATGAATAGGTTTGCGGATTTATAATAATAACAATATAATAAGAAATTTAAATTTTATAAATAAAACCTGAAACGTATCTGACAATGATAAGAGCCACAAGTTGTCTACTCCTGTTTAAATATTCTAAACATAGGATAACTGGAATATGAAAATATTAGGTGCTTGGTCAATATATTAAACATTTTACACTTTTAAGTTAAAGAATAATCTCGGTAATAAATAAATGAAGATACTGTAGTACTTATGTAACTATTGATATTATAAATTAAATTTATAACTTTTCATTCCATTAGGCCTATTCAGGCAAACCTACTTAATGAGTATATTAAGAATAATGACTACTTTTATGATTATAAATTAGAACAATGTAATCACCTCAGTTTCTGTTAATAATGCTTTATAGACAACGTAACAAATAGATTTAATAAACGTTTCACTTTATATTTCTATTTTACATTTATATGGATTTTCCAAATAACTCTTACATTTTAGTGAACTGTTGCTATAAAATCGAATTCGTTAATTGTACTCCGTTCATCGGGCAACGCATTTAAGTCCTCCTGAAATTTATAAATTTTAAATTTAGATCTAGTGAACTGATCCACATCAAACAAACTTAATTAATTATACAAAATAGCTTGAGATTGATATTGAAATATAAAAAATACATTATTGTGATACATTAATATTACATTATATTATATTTCAACGAAGAAAGTACATAAATGCAAATATGATAACCTCATTTTCAGGTGTCATTCTGTCACGATATCGATACCACTTTCAGAGGCAGTCTGTAATGATGGTGTTCTATCAATAAGAACCTTGATTAACTTTCTATACAAGTTTATTTAATAAATGATTCAAACCATTAAAGATGTTAAACGTCTTCTTCGCCAAGTGGACGAATACATTAGTCGACACTTTGCTGTTTAGACACACTTCAACAACAGGACAATGGTAAAACCGGAATTCTAGATCGATATTCATTTCACAGTCGTTTAAGATAAAATACAGGTACGTAAATAAATGTATGAATTTAAAATGACAATTTAACGTTAAGTACTTGTAAGTCTATGCGACATAATAAATTCGTTTGAAAACCAAATAAAAACACGACGTACGCCTGTTAACATTATCGTTTACAATGTGATAATACGCAATGATAACGATTGCGCGTTGGCGATAACGGTCGTTCTTGAACACGATACACGATGGCGCTCCTGCATTTGATGACCGTCTTGAACGTAAACTGGGCTGTAGCAACCAAATATTGCTAATTTTATTTTAAATATTTTTAAATATTTTACAAATAAATAATAATTAAATATTTAACTAATAAATATATGTAATCTATATTATTGTAGAATTTCCGTTTTTATTTTAGTATTTTACGATTAATAAAAATATATGATTAAGTCTGTACAATATCTTATCTAGAAAGTAGGTACAAATTTTAAGAAACTTGCAAAATAATTTAGCACTTATTTCCGCTAATTTTGGATTTTTAGTTGATACTATTTCCAAATTAGAAACTTCTAAAATGGCATTAACCGAGAGCCTAGAAATAGTAGATAATGTCATTAAGCAAATAGAACACGTTCCTAGAGAAATTGGAGTTTTAACAAACTCTAAATTACAAAACATAATGGGAAAAACCTCAAGACTTAAGGCTGTAAAGTCAATAGAGAAATACTATTAAACAAAACTCCAAAAAACAATTTATAAATAGCATACAGTCCAAAAGAATTAACATGTATGAAATATGCACCTGTCACTTCCGTTGATGTGGAGAAGTCATTTAACCGTCATAAAGCAATACTAAGATCGAATCGCCGTAATTTAAAATTTTAAAAATCTCAAATTATATATTGTTTCTAATTGTTTCTCCCATGAAGAACATTTGGATGATTCAGAATAAACATTTTTATTTTTTTATAAAGTATTATTTATAAATTATAGTGAATTATATCTTATTTTCAATTTCAATATTATAAATAAATATATATAAAGTTATAAACAAATATATATTTAAATCTGTTCCCTAGATATAACATAATAATACTCATAAATTAAATAAGTAAATACATAAATACATAATATTACTTTTACTTATTTATTATTACTTACAATTTAATTGAAATTTTTTCAATTTTGCGCCCTCCCAGGAATTGCGCCCGGTGCGTAGGCTCCTTAAACCTCCCCTTGCTACGCCTCTAAACGTAGACCTACTAACTATAGTAAAATAAATAATTAATTAATGGGTCTATGGTCTTGAAGCGTTCTTGTAGAGAAACCACAGCTTACTCCCGCTTGCTCACTTGAACATTTTCGAAATTCTTAAGATTTGACGTTTCGTTGTGCGTTTCTTTTCGACGTTCCAATATTATCTCAAGACGCTTATAAAAGGAAGGTTAACCAAAAGTTTTTAGGACAAGCGACAACGTTAAATATAATATTCACGTGAAAAACCAACTTTCCATCGTTTTTCAATTATTTACGTTTCTCAAACAAGCAGTGTTACGTTACGCAAAATACCACTATTAGTCGCGTGATTAATCGTTCGAACAGTCAATGATAAGTCCTGTTGGGGGTGAAAAGCTCTCGTCAGCATATCCCCGTAACCGAGGTCTCGATCCGCACTCATCAAATGAGTATCGCCTGGCACCGCGGTTGCCACCCATAGAGCACGTGCAACAGCGAAATCCGTTTCCACCGATCGAATTACGAGTATGTTCGCAGGGACGTTTAGACCGAAATCCTGCGGCTGAGGATTCGACCTCGGTAATATTTTCTGTCAGCGCGGAAATACAAAAACGAATAATAACAGCCCCCCGATCCTGAGGCTGATGGTGGCTGTTGTGCGGTGCAATCGTTTCCGTCCGGAGAACAAGTGTGATCCATAATCGTCGCCATCATCCCGTCATGTATTAAGTGTTATATGATAATAAGTGAGCATGAATGCGATATTCGCGGGTACTCACGTTACGAATTCAAAACGGGAAACATTTGATTGTACAAATATATATATATACACACTGCAGTATTGTACTATAAATGGATATTTTCCATTTAAAGTGGCGTTAAGCACGGTGACTTAAAGTATGCTGGCATCATCAAGACGGTCAAAAGAAACAGTCCGTCGATGCAACGCATCCACAGGGTCTCTAGCCCGACGACGACGCTCACCCCCTCGATCCGTTTTTGCGTATACTTATGCAGAGATATATATAATATTTATGTATAATGTTTCGTATAATAAACACGTGCTACACATTTCGTTACCTATATTATCACATATGAATCGTTTAAGTGCAATATGTACACATTGATATAATAACGTACGCTCGCGGTGACGCAACCTGCCGACGCAATTGGAGTAGGGTTGCCAGATTTCAAAATTCAAAATACAAGAATAAAAAATTTCTATTCCGAATGTCACAACAACAACACAAGGTTTTTAGAAAGTATCTTAAATCCAACTAACTTAGTTATCGCTTAAAGTCTTACAGTCTAGGATGGCTGACGTGTGGTGATAAATAATAATAACTAATAATATCAACTTGAATTGCTACATAATTTTTTGACACATGAAAATAAAAATTTTAAAACTAAAAACAAACGATAAAATATATTTATCTTATTATTTTAATACAAAAAAGGAACATAATTCACTATATAGGTACATTTTTGGAAAACGGGACATTTTAGTGTTCCAAAAAGAGTTGCAAGGATAACGAGACACTTAGTCAAAGAGTCATTTCCATATTATACGGAACGTCTTGTAACCCTGAATTGGAGCCCCAGTGTCACTAGGATGTGCCTTGCATGAGATTTTTATTTGATATTCTTACGTGTATCCCTTTAAGATCCTCGCGAAACTCGCCATTTATTAGGATAAACAAGCTTAACGATTCTTTAGAATCTTTTTTTTTTTTATACATACAATTCAATAAATTCATGATTATATTAAATATTGTGACCGGCTCCTTTCCTGGACTAGATATTCGGTTCTGCTTATAAATATTGTTTTTATTGAAATAATTATCTCCCGCGCGGATTTTTGTTACTCACTCGATCACCAATCGGGGTCCAGCTGAGTTTTTATGCAAATCTTAACCACGGTTATATTATAGGCGTGTTAATGTTTTATGATATGCAATATACCTAATTCGTTTGATTGGTTTGGTCTCTTTAGCACAAGTGCTTCCCGGCACTATCGATATGACTGCTAAATTATTAATTAACACTATTCAATTTGTTTTTTTTTTTTATAAGGAACACGCGTTCTAATATGAAAAAAAAGGAAAAAAAAAGTACGATTAATACAGAAAACTGTACTTAAAAATGTGTTTATTTCATATTTTTATTGAAATCAACATTGTTTGATCCCAACGAAACAATAAATAAAAGTCAATAGCTATATTCGTCCAAAATTTGCATTATGTTTATGTTTAATATGTTAATGGTCAAACACACATACGTATCCAAATCTAATTGGTCGTTCTTGAAACTACGCAAGTGTTTGCTGTAGGATACCATAATAAATTCTGTAATATGTAACCATTGATTAGCGTGCACCGCGCTATCAAATCATAAAGCAACACCGACCGATCAGACCGGAAGGAAACCTGAATGGCTGTATGGGTGTACGTAGGAGAAAAATCCTTAGAAATTAGGTCATTGAGAGTGACACCGCGTAAAACGGAACAAGGATATACCGTCCGTCGTATATTCATACGCATACGAGATACATTACACAGTATTACCTATACGCACATACGTAACGTAATAGGTACTGCGCGATATCAGGTTTAAAAAATAATACACGACACGCGTATAGTTGTGTATGCGTTTCGAAACATAACAAATAACGGTAACGAAATACGTCGCTACAGACGGTGTTGAAAAAAAATATGTTTTCTCTCTCTTTATGACTATCCGCAGTATAATATAATACTGAAAATAAGGGTTTACGATAGGGACGAAAATTCAAAAATAACATCAGAACACGTCAAGTTCATCAATTTATTTTAATAATAGTTTATGAAAAAAAATGACAAATTTCATTTTGTATCCATCTTGTCAAATCAAATCCAGTCACGGGTTAGTTTTACCAAAACACGCCCTCTATTATATTTATCAGTAAAAACAATATAATTGTGTTTGTAATATCATTTTTCAGTTGAATAATGTTGTTTGGCTTGTAACAGGAAAACCTGAATTCTTTGATTTTGATTTATTATTTATTTTTATTAAATATATATATCTTCTTTACAACGCGAACAGAGTTCCTCCAAAAAAAGTTTTAACTGAATTAGTACATCACCGCCGTAAATGTTGTTGGGCAGTCGTTTAATAAAAGTATGATTACTCTTATATCACTTAGCTTTTTATTTCTTATTTTACTACAAACCTTGACGACATAACGCGTACATGTTGTATTATCTTTCTAATAATTCATATTACAATGCATTATTTGTGCAACGCGACGAGATCGAAATTAGCTTATTACATTTTTTGTACTGTATGCAGTGATAAAGAGTGAAAATGGTTATCGCGACACTTCAGACGAATAACTTGGTTAAACAGAATTTCCATACGTAAATTGATCAATTCGATCGTAACGTTTGTGTTGCAGATCATTGATACGATATGTTTACATCATCGCGTATGCGCGTAACGAGTGATGTGACGACCTTGCCGCGTCGATCTCATTACTTGATTTCGTTTGCCCGATTTCGTAATTCTGTTTTTTTTTTTCTTGTATATTTTTTTAACGTTTTCGTGTGATTTATTCGTTGATATCGTGCGATACGTAACATTATTATAATAACATGTACTCAATGTTGGTAAATATTTATAGAACTCTTGAACGTTTTTTCACCCGTCCTTTTTTCGCGGTCACCGGTTGATTCGATCGATATTTTTCGCGCAAATGTGCCGTTTAAAGTTCAAGGACGCGAGTTTAGGCTTTTGCGGCAACGCACTCGTCGATCCGGGTAACAGGTATACAGCAGTGTAGTGCTGTATACGATTATTTAGGTAAAACAATTTATAGTCGATTGTAGATTCCAAATCATAATAAAAATTATAAAATTTCTTTTATGGGTACTTTAAATTTTCTTGATG